TGCATAACACACAGAGCATATTCCAAATCAAACATTCCCGCGATAATACAACATGCAGAGCGAGCGAGGAAACACAACGCTATTCGTCCAAGGAGCAAAGGAGCAAGGGAGGAAAGGGGTGAGAGAGGGGAAGAGAGAGAGTGATAGAGATAGAGAGTCGGAACACGAGGGTTGCCCCCGTGAATTAATTTCTATCTAATCAATACAAAAAAAAGAAAAAGACCATCCCCGTACAGAAAAATCATTAAGACCGATATTTCTGTAGCCCCTCTCTCATCTCTCCACTGGACGCTGCCATGGAGAGAGCATTTTGAATTGACACAGAAGAGAAAGAATTGGGATTTGAGAAAGGGGAGAAAGGGGGAGTGTATAGTAGGAGCTGAGGAGAGGAATGGTGAAAAGACACATGGATGAAAACAGAGGTTAAGTCTGCATATCTGAGCCACCGCGAATCATTTCCTGGTTGGTTTTGTTATGTTTTTGTGGATGTGAAAAATTTACCAGTGCTTCCATCGGCGAACGTCTCCATCCCCGCCATGCGAGCAGCCTGTCTGGACAAGAGAGGGATGGAGAGCAACGAGATGGGGGAGAGGGTACGGGAGGGGGGCCAGTGTGTGGGGCGGTTGATCTGAGGTTGGGGTCTCAGTATTAAACTGAGGGGTGGAGGGGTTAGAGGTGAGAGGAGGAGGGGGGGTTTGGAGGGATATGGCAACACCCTAACCTTTCATGTCCCCCCTTTTCTCTCACTCTCTCTCTATCTCTCTCTCTCTCTTCTTGTCCACCACCCTCGTTGTCCCTGTTTCTCTCTCCATCCCTCACCCTCGACGTGTGTCTCTCAGCGGTTTCCATGGCGACCCGGTGGCTGTGTTGCTGCTGCTGAGGAGAAAGAGGCGCGTGCATGAGACAGGCAAGGAGAGAGCGAGGCAAAGCGGTCGTTTGAAGTGCAAGGAGGGGACCATGACACATCTGAGGTAATAAGCAATCAGAGGCATTTATAGGTTAAATATCACTGCAGAGAACTCAGGTTATGTTCTCCAAAAGACGCATGTTATGGTGCTCATTTACTTTGTAGATGCTACATGTTTAAAGGCCCATCAGCTATGAGTGGACTGCATACAAATACAATAAAATATGCAAACACACCTTAAAGTTCTGCAAGTGTAAGTTTAAAATCTCTCTGAGTTGCTGGAGGTTTTACTCTTAGTTGTGTAACTTCATGACTATCACGTGTTCCTGATGTGACACAGTGGATATTCAGCAGGAGAGCTGCTGTTTTGAATATGAGGCCTCCTCAGATGTGTGATTCATCTATATGCTGCCACCTGCAGGCCACAGAAAACACCTTCAGTCCTGCTCAGCATGCAGATAATCCTGCATAAACGTGGTTTGCATGATAGATTTGATTAACCAATGCAACTGGTCTGTTATACCAGATTTTGGGCAATGAATAATACTCTGTTTATAACATTCCTGTTGTCCTGGGGTCAAGTCTGACCGGTTCGAAGTGTGTCGGTTTGACAGGTTCTTTCATTTCTTTGCCACAAAAACAACATGGATGGTTTAATACCTCTTTTGAAGAAATAAGGATGATATAATGTGGTAAATGTATAGCATCTGGTGTCATTACGTGCTGCCATTAAAGATTTGAAATGATTGCAAAACCTTGACATATAACAGTCTGTCATAATCTATGAGGATATGGTCATTCGAACTATTATCAAATTATTCAAATTATTTGTCTTTTCAAAATTCAAAAGTACGCTTTTGGTTTTGTGTAAATTATGAATTAGCCATAATTGCAAAAAAAAAGAAAAATATAGTACAATTTATGCTAATGAGTTTGATTGAAGTTGGCTTTGGAGGTGTAATCCAGATTTGGGTGCTTTTGAAACAGTCAAAAATGTTGCAGAGTTCACAAGAAATCACAAACGTTGAATAATTGAATAAGGAAAACATCAATTTTTTTTAAATCAAATATTTTGGCTTAATAATGATAAATTAACCAACTGGGACGAAAAAAAATCCAAATAACATTACCTGTAATTGGAAAAATGTGCTCATATGTTGTCTTTAAAAAATGTCCTTTGAAACCCGGTGGGACCGACTATACCAGCTTTACAACCACACACAGTGCAGAGGCAAACCAAGGATGAAGGCTTTGGTCAAGATCACCTAATCTAATTTTCTCTCCTCAATAAAAGCCATAGAATTTCCCCCATCAGAGAGATGTACCATATGCTGCAGGGTATACATATAATAAAGGGAGCCCCAGTGGGCCGGCAGACGGCTGTAGTGTCTATCAGCTTTAGATGACACGTTTCGATAGGAGACTGATTTAGGGCTGAGCTACCGCAAGATGACTTGAGTCTCCATCCAATCAAGGAGGTGCGAAGAACACCTGCGGACAGTGGAATAAAGTCTACAGAAAGATGATGACCGGTGTCCTGCCACACAAACCCAGCATTGCATTAGCTTCTGCACCCCAATACAATTTGCACCATGGAACACGAGACTACCTCTGATGTCTCTATGAAGTGTTTTAGGCAATAAAACTGAACAGTCACCCCACCAAATGTCCACAGTGGGCTAGGGCCGCTTAATATATATATATTTGAGTCCAAGTTATTCCCCACTGCAGGTGATAGAAAATGAAAACACATGTTGAAACTGATCGATTCATTAAGGAAACAATAGGGTGGTGTTATTTGCAATGTTGGCTCCATCATTGTTTCTTTTTTTGCTCTTACCGTGGCTTCCCCTGGTTGTTTTGGTCCCTGGCTGACTGCATCACGGTCCTGCCCAAGCTCTGTCACCATAGCAACGGGATCTTTGACCCCGTCTCTTGAATCCTTGACCTGGATGTAGATCAGCGAGGCAGCGAGGGAGCCCATTGGCCGAGAGCTGCTGCTGCTGCTGCTGAGCCGAAGCTGCAGAGGAGGGGTGACTGTGGAGATGGGGATGGGGTTTGGAGGGTCAGCAGCAGGCCGGAGAGATTCAAGGATTCAAGGCTTTTATTGTCATGTGTACATAGCTACAGTGTAGTTATGACAATGAAAATCTTAGGTCACAGGCTCCTCCAACAGTTCAACAGATAATAGTGCAAGTAAATAAAATGAAATAGAATATAATAGAAATAGTGCAGAATAGTCTATATACAAGTAATTTGAATATTGATATTTATAAGTTGCAAACAGATGAATGTTATTGATGTTCTTTCAAAAGTTCAGGTGTTTAACAGTCTTATGGCCTGTGGGATGAAACTGTCCCTAAGATGGGAGGATCCGGGGGTCCGCTGCTGCTGACAGACTCAAAACCTCCCTTCAGCGGGGGCTCATGCAACCTTGAGAACTGGAGCTTTGGACAATGAGGGTACTCTTTAAAGTGTAAAGACATTTGGATTCCATTCTGATCCGGTACTACTCTCATGTCTGTCTGTGAGTATTAAGGTAGAGCCAGCAGCCAGTTATCTAAGCTCAGCATAAATACCTGGGTTAACAGCTAACCTAAGACAAAAAAGATCCACTAACCCTAGTTCTCAAACGGGGGGTCGGAGAGTCTGGAGTAAGATTGTTGATAGAAGAAGGCCAGTATTGGTTATTGGCTGAAATATGGCAATGCATTGTTTCCCATTTACAGAGCCAGGATTGTGAAGATGTTTAAAGCACACAGAGAATGTTCAGCAAGACAATAATCAAAAGTGTATTGGCTTAGAATCGCTAACTATATGTGTTAAGCTCACTAATTAACTAACCCTGTGTCCGTCCAATACATAATCTGCCAACTAATTCTTAGTATTAGACCGTTCCCCATTAGTTAACTCAATGGCTAGCTAATTCACCACATGGCACATTGTTTTATGTCAATTAATTGATAGTGTCCATTTATAATATGGTAAAAGTTAAGTTTCTGTCAGCATATAACATCCTGGCGGAGGGTACCTTTTATATTTATTTTGGTTATTTCCCATGATTTCCTATGAATTGCAATGGATTTGTTCCCATTTTAAATATGACAGATCTTTGCAACCCTATTCCAGAGCGATTCGAAGATTGTGGAAAGCGTTCTACTCTAGATTTTTCTAGGTGAAACATTTCTGAACTGAGCAACGAGGTTCAGTTATCGCCCAAAAGTGATGCAGAAGCCTCAGCATCATTTTGATAAAGTTTTACTGTAAGATGAAAGAAGAGGGTTGAAGAAAAGTCAGTAAGTGTAGAGTGGGGTCCGAGGTTTAGCAGTCGAGTTGTTTGAGGAGTCTGATGAAGAAGCTTTAGTGAAGACCTTCAGAGTTCTGATTCCTTTGGAAGAGTGCAGTATATCAGAAAGTAGGGTGTGACTTGTTAAAGGTGATCTGAGTCTTGTCCTTTTGATATTTGTGAGCATTTTGTTACTGAGTGCTCCAGATATGCGCCCGATTTCTTTGTCAAACAAATCCCTCATAGTGGCAGGGTCATCCGAGGGTGAGTCACTGTTCAGAGGAGCAACACGGCAGCGTCTTTTGAGTTGGACCTCTGTAGTTTTCAGAGTGCCTGGGTCTCCCTGTGGGCATCGCATCGCTGGTCTTGCTTTAAGGCTGGGTGTGGTGAGAAGCGGCTTTCAAAAAATCTCAGTTTTCCCCAAGGCAGGCCTGGGGCAGTTTAGCTGGCCATCAAACGGGCCAGCTCTGAACAGGGTAGAAACGGCCCTATCAGGTTTTTCCCCGAGGGTTGGTTCCACTTATTGTCCTCGATGATGGCGAGTCAATAATAAAACTTAATTTAGACACTCTGCAGTGCAGCAAGGCCGGGTGTGGTCAGAGTGCCCTGAACTGACATTATAATGGTGTCTTTAAGTCAGCAAGTGACAAGGAAGTAATTGGCACTAAATATTTAAAACAAAAAGAGGCATAAAGAGGCCCTAAAATGTATATAAAAATGACAGTAATTTAGCCATTTGTGTGCACAATGGATTACATAAATAAAATAATATAATACATTAAGTATGACCTTCAAACATAACAAATCAGTTTATTTCCCTGTGTCAAAATCACTGGTCTAAAAAAACCATTTTGAACTCAATGTAAAAAAAGTCACCCGTCACAGCGCCAGTACAGAGTGCAAGCTTAGATTTCCGAGTGTAATGAGGTGACTCTTCAAAGTGCCCTTTAGCCGGCATTTACATTATTTATTCATGTGCTTGTGGACTGTGTTGCTCTACATCAGAGGACTTAATTATGTCCAAGAAGGTCCAGCTATACGTCAAAGACCCCCTCAATATCATAAAGAATTGACACGTTTGCATACAAAACTATCATTTCTTTACTCTGAATTGAAGCAAACTACTGAAGAAATTCTGCAATTCCTTATTCATTTTAAAACTGATTTAGAAATAAAATAAAATGCTCTCTATTTAAATTGGTCCTCCATGATTACATTCTGAGAAGCTGCCATATTATTTGTACTAGAGCTAAATAAACGTTATGTACATTTAATGCAATACAGAAAAGTACATTTTTTGAAGCTGAAAGAGATGAGCACAAATCTCACATTGGACTTTAGCTGTACGAATGTTACCAATGTAATCTGGAGCAAGGCTTTGGAGGTATTTGAAAACATAAGGAGAAGCACCTTTCAAATCCATTTCATAGCTTAGAGGAAGCCATGAAATAGATTTTACTCTAGGTGTCACTCATTTGGGTTTTGGTAAAGATCCTTTCTGGTATCAGCTGTTTCGCTTTTATTTTGTGGATAAAAAAAATGGAGGTTAAATGTCCAAAATATATCGACTGTTTGTTAAATATTCATAAGAGAATTATATTTTTAGGTCCCATAATCTATCATGGAGGAAGATGATAAACTTCAGATAAAGATAAGCATCTCAGCTGAAAATATTATATATTGTTTGAAGACATTGTAAGTGTACATTTGAGGTGATTGCATTGTATATGAAGCAAAAGAAAAAGGCACATTTTTACTGACAATAAATAAAGCGTCCAACATCACATAACATTACAACTACTACACTGCAATAGCCGGGCCTACAAGCAAGTGGAGGGAAACGTAGCACAATGGTGGGTAGTTTAATAAGATGTTTGAAGCACACACCGTTCTTGGGTCTCATCGTGCTGACCGCTTACAGCAAGGAGAAAATAATTAAGGATCTGATCCACGGTGACCTGCATTCGATGGACCTCTTCAGACCGTCCGGGGGCGGGGGCAGGAGCAGGGCACGCTCCACTAATACAGGTACGCAGGGCCAGGGAAAACGACTAAGTGAGAAAACTGAGGAGAAAAAAACAGACAACTAAAAATTCAAAAGTGATTTCCGGAGATGCAAAGAGGTGCTTTAGGGGTTTCAGTTAGATTTTTATAAGGCTTACGTTTAATCTTTCTACAGGCAGAATAGTCAAAAAGGACTTGTGTTGAGTGTCATTTTTTTCAAATATACAGTAACAGCTGTCTGGTTTGGTTAGGATTGTTAAGCAGCTTTTCCATAAAATGTTGTTTCACAATTTCTATGGACGACTGTGGTGCTGGAGTGACGGAAGTGATGCATTTACAAAGTGCTTCGCTTGCATGACATTGACAGCAAAGATTACAAATGGAGCATTTTACGTTTTTGATACAATAAAGGTCAAAGTGCAAAAACAGCTTTAGGCCAGTGAACTTTTATTAATAAAAAAATTATAATATGTCATATATAGACAGACATCCACAAAAAGAATTGGCATTCCAACAGAAATTCTTATTTTTAACAAAAATGTTTCCCTGAATTTGTTTTTCCTTTTATGAATATACAGTACAATCAAAATTATACGTACAAATTCAGTATCAAAACAACACTTAAGCAAACAGAAATATGTCCATTGTCCCTCCCTCTGCCTGGCCTGCCTGCCCTTCAGACAGTAGCGAGTCTGCCTGCTTAAGTCGTGGCTGTTCGGAGGGGGGGCTTATTGATCGTCTTCTATGAGTGAAGTCCAGGCATTAGTTCCAGCAGGGTGAGTCGACAGCTGTCCGTGAGCCACTCTACTGGGCCTACATAGCAGGGCTGAGTGAGCTGGGATGTGCACTTTTGATTTTGATCTCTCCAACATCACTTCTATTGACCGACGCGCTGTCCTGTGCTTTACTTGCTGAGAGAGGCACTTGCCGAGGCCTAGCTAGAAGCACGGGCACAAGCCACCGTTGCATTATCTGGGTGTCTGTTGACAAGCTTTGGATGATGAATCTTCCATGGTCTGCTGAGGCCTAGCCCTAATCACTGCTGTCATCTACTGGCAACTGCCGTATCCACTTGACCACGGCAATCACAAGTGGAGTTATCGTTACACACAGGGCTGAGAATCCCAGTGTGTTATCTAGGTGTGTATGCGTGTTCTCGACTCTCCAAAGTTGGACACAAAGGTCAATCTTTACCGAGCGAGGACCACTTTTCCGTCTGTGCTCAACTCTGTCATTTTTTTTAAAGACCAGAAACTTAACTTGGCAAGTTTCTTTGTCCTTTAAATCAGTTTAAATAAAGAAGTGCTACTTAGAACTATAAGTATTCTTCAAGTACAACATGCTCTTGAAAACGAAGCACCTTTCTCATTTCAGGAGTGTTTGTATGTTGTCTCAGCCCTAAACAGTATGTAATTATTTTTCTATCACTTGTTGAACATAACATTTATTTCATAAACTTATTTTATATTTATAATATTATAATATTATATGGGGCTTACCACTTATTTTGGCACACTCTTGCTTGCTCTTGTTCTCACTGAGTCTAAGAAGACATATCTTGATGGATCCTGCCTCATCCTGGTGTCCTACAAAGTGGCACCTGTTCATGAAAGCAAATTATTATTTAGTTTTCTTTAACAAATAGGTCATGTTTTTTTTTTTAAACACAAAAACTGACTTGTGAAAATGTAAGGCCGATTATGATTTCAAACAACCAATGGTAAGAGCTGCCATCTAGTGGTTATCACATGGATTGCAACTTAAAAAAAAGGAGGCCATGAAAATGGTTGCAGATTAACCTGTAACCATTTATTTTCATACATCATTTCTTATTATTCCATCATTTAAAGTCAATATCTTACACTCTTACAAGCCTATAATCCCAGCGAGTCTCAGTCCACCCCACCCTTACTAGATGACACCATTCTCCTCTCTCTCAGCAGCATTCGGCCTTCCTCATAGTCGTCCTGGTCCACACTCATCATCAGGCGGACGTCCTCCCTGCCTGCGGCCCTCCTCAGGGAGTCAGTGATGAAGACTCCCTTCATGGCCTCCAGCAGAGCTCCGCTGAGGTAGTCTGCCCAGAAGGACTCCAGGTTGTCAACATCTGTGAACTTGATGACGCAGACGAGGGTCCCGAGGTCTCTGGCGTGAAGCAGAGTGTTGGCTTTGCTGAACAACTCAAACTGCCGCTCCAGGGGCTGCTGTTTGTCCGACGAGACTCCCTCACGGAGAGCAGACTCGTGCTCCAGGTATTCGGCCCGGACACGCAGGCGGATATCTGATAACAGAAGGGGGAGGAGGAAGCCAAAGGTGGAAAAGTGTGGTGGGAGAGAGTAGAGGGAGGAAATGAATGGTGGGGGAAAGGTAAAGATAGTGAACAAGGAAAAGGGAGAAAGTGGAAAAGGGTAGAATTGGAGAGGCCCACGTCCAGAAACAGAGAGAAAGGGAAATCAAATCAAAACAAAAAAGGGAAAAAAAACAGGGACAAGACAATATTGTTAAAATATGTTTATATTGTCGTTACACTAAGCAAGGGTTCAACAATAAATAAGGGGTTTGGAGAGCACCAGAGTTCCCAAAGGTGATTGTGACTACTAACTGGACTAGAAAATGTTCACTGAAATATCCTTTGACAAAGTGCAGATATAATGTTGCAGGAGAGCAAGGCAAACTGGTAATCATGAGAGGCCCTGTGGCTAGATCAACCAGACTGTGTGCATTTGTTGCATTATGTGCAGCTGCAACCTTGTTTTGGTGAAAAGTGACCTTTTGGAGCATCGAGAGAAATACTCTGCAACTGAACCATTAGTGTCGTCTCTTTTCTTCCCAGGCAATTCCAACATTTTAAGAATAATGTCAGCTGTTAGCTAGATGACTGCCGTCGGTGAATAGAAATGGCATCAGAATTTTCAGTGTCCTGCACGGTCTAAATAAATCGGGGCTGTTGTTTGTGTAATGAGCATATGGAAATTAACTTGAGCAAATTCTGTGGTGGAAGTAATGAAAGCAACTTAGCAGTGTGAAGCCCAGGAGAGGCTTTCTGTTCCAGCCTGGAGTTTCTAAAGGGCAGATTTTTTCTGATCAACATGATTGATGCGGAGAACAGATAGCTGCTGGAGATCCGGAGTTACAGGATTGGTGGTCATGCAACAGCGCAGCGAGAAAGATCAGAGGATACATACTGTACTGAGTAAGAACACCGCTGAGATCGTCCACCATGTCATTATTCCAGGACTTCGAGTGGAAACCAGCGGCTGAAGACTTTTGCTGCAACAAAAATCCATCCCTCCTACTCAAAACCCCTAGTAGAGGTTAACAGTATCTACTACCATAGGTAGATGATGACATCTATTTCACTAGAAACATGTTTACAAGCTGTTTGGAAGTCATTCTAGGTTTTGCAAAACCTCTTTGGAGCTCAGGCAGACGTTAAAAAAAAAGGAGAAATGGAAACAAAACACTTGAAGACACCATTAAAAAAAAAAAAAAAAATGCCATAAAAGCTCAAACGTATGACTCTGATGTGAAGATGATAACTGGAGTCTCGGTTAAGGTACAGAATCATTACAAGAGAGCACCAAGGACCCAACTTGAAGACTTATCTCATCTGTACATGGTAACCTTTACAGTAGCTAGGGCTCCACAGTGAATGTGTTAACTCCAGAGTCACGTTTACGGCCTCTTCGTGCATATTTTGTTTGGGGCTGTGGGGAATGGCACAAGGCTCCAGAGGGAGAAAGTTTGGAAAATGTCAACATTAGAAATGCAAATGTTGAATCAAGGCATTGATTTTGCACGTCTTAACATTTGTAGGAGAGCGATAACCAAACATTGGCATTTGCATTCATGCTACATAAGGCCGTAATTAGATTACTATGAAAACAGAGCACTGGATAAAAGGAGACGCTTAATCGATGAGGTTCAGGAAATGTTAAGAATATGCACGGTTGGGGATAAGACTTGCAAATGGAAATCATTCAATTCAACTTCAGCTCGCTAATACATAGAAGGAAAGGTTTCTTTTTATAAAGGCATTATGGTACAGGAATATGAAACACTGACATTTTACAGGAATATTTGATTGTGATTTAACAAATTATTAAACCTTTTTTCTATTACAGTGTCTTAAATAACTGATATTAGTCTGCAAATCTTACCAAAACATACAGATAAAAGTTTGATACATTGTTTTGTCATAACATAGATCATGACTGTCTTCAGAGAACGTAAAGTGCCAATACTGAGAATGAATTCCCCTTTTTTCATGGTTTATTGTTTTACAACATTGATTAACAGTGGACTTCAGCTATTGGTTACTTGAAATAAAACATTACACAATAAAATTGCAACTGTTTCTGGTTGATCATTTAAAAGTAATACTCATGGGAAGGGTACAAATACGTAGCAAAGCAAATGGTGCCCTTTAATACAGTCAGAGCAATCCCAAAAACCGGGCTTAGGACATACCGTATTTTAATACTTAACCATACCGGGAGGCCTAAGAAAACTCTTAAAGAACTAAGAGGGGAATTACTGGTGACCCTCAGACAGATTTGAAATCAGTATTAAAAAAAAATACATTTACAAGACATCTCTTACTCAAAAGTGCTTTTATGCTCTGACAACGCAAACAGCGTAATCCTGGAGGAAGCACCTACTGCAGTCGGGAAGATAACCCTGACAAAGAAATGTTTTTTTAGCACAATAGACGTTTTTCATGGCAGACATTTTGACATGTAATAGAAGGAAAACACAGGTGTATTTAGAGTTATTAATGATATATGCATTTCACTAAGGGGAGGCCCTGTTGTTGTATATGTTGGCTCACTGGGACAATGTTTTGGAACCTTCTTTTTGATTCAAGAAGCATTTAGCGATTACAACCAATATGTTTATGATTCAGTTGTTTACTTGGCATAAGGTTTTTAATTCTTCTAGCCTCTTACTGTTACTCTTCAAGTGCAAAAGTGTAATGTAACGCACAATTACTGAACCATGTAAAACTAGAAGTCCACTACGGAGACTTGATGATTTTACTCATCTTCTTTCGCGGGGAAGCCTTATCAAATTTGCTTTTTCTATTCCGTCAACTCAAAATGTCTGCTGTGATAAAGGTCCATAACTTAGGAATTTGTGCAGATTAGTTTTAACTTTGACAAAGTGCACTGTTATTCAATGTTGTAAAAACAAGGTGGGGGTTGAAAACATCTTGCAGGCCTATTGACTAATGCAGATTTGTTTCACCATTTCTGTACTTTGATTTATCACAAAGTGTCCATCAGTCTGTCTGCATGTAACCTAACCTTTAGCTCTTATACAGTGTTCAGTATGGACTGAGTGAAATATTAAGCCAAAGCACCGTTAACAGTTCGACCTTTTTGGATCATTACACTGTGTGAGGGCTGTGGCTATGATAAACAACCGCCCTTCATGCAATTACTGTATTTATGGATGGCCTCCATTTCGGCCTTCCCATTTCATACTGAGCAGGATGGAGGTAGAGATAGTGGCACTGAGGAGAAGGCCATTTAAAACCACAGGAACACCATGATAGTCATTTTGTTAGGGTTACAGAGCACTTCACGCTTCATCAGACACAGAGACATCCACTTAGACAGGACATTAGGAGGCACAGCTTTCATTTTCTCACTTTAAACACCAAGCCTGTTCGGCTTCCTTCATCTCAACCCCAACCCACTATAAAAAATAAATAAATAAAAATAAAAAAAAGTTTAAGTACCCATTTACGAGGAGTCACTTGGCAAGGAGAGCTTCAACTCTTTATCGATCCGTTTTTCTGCTGAATGACTGACCAAGAGAGTGGAGAGTTAGGGGAGTATTGAGAGACGGCAGACAGAACTCTCTTTTCCCCCATAGACAAAAATCCCCCTCTGTACCATTTTGAGCGTGGTTTGAGCATTTAGAGTTCGTTCTCTCCTTCTGATAGTGTGTAAGGATACTGTTTTCCTGACACACATGTTGGTCTGTTTAGAACTGCGAACACAGAGAAAGGAGAGAAAGAGAAGAGAGACAAGCACAAGTGGGTTGGACATCTGTCGACTGGGTCGTTTTTTTCAACATCAAGCAGGCATGGCACAGCACTCACTTCTCTTAGTTGTAATGAGGTCTGAGTCAGGGCAATAGTTGGTACTGACAAGTTAATCAGCTCAGCTTTACTGTTGCTCCACAATATAATATACACTAGAGTCTAAGTGGGATGCTTGGGACTACTCTTACCTTGACCAATCCCCTTACCCTCACCTTCACCGACCCATTATTTAAGCTACGAACACAACATTAATCAGACGTGTCCATTAAAGCAAGTAAGGCCTTCACAAGCACCCCATTTAGATAGAACAGAGCTACTTCTGAGCTCAGGTAACAAACACCTTATGGGCATTTTGTAACAGGCAGTTGTCATTGTCAGCATGTAATTGAGACACTTCACTGAAAATGATCTGAGAGATGAGTCATGAAAAGAATTGGAGGTCTGTTTGAAAGCTAGGGGCCAGCGTTGGACTGAATCTATCTCTGCTCCCTCTTGACAAACGCACACCCAGGGCTCACACGGGGCAGAGATAAGATACAGCAGGATCTTCCTTCAGCAGAGCACTGTTGGCTTATTTTTCCTCAGAACTGCTTGAGTAAAAGGTTACATGGGCATTTTCGAAACAGCCGTCCAGTTTAGATTCTCTGAATTCAGGACCAGGACCCTTTTGAAAGGACGAGGATCTGTGAAAAATGAGCATTTTTCTTTTGGCTTTGGACTCCATAGCTGGCTTACAGGAAGTTTCAGTAAGCCAGGATGAATTGAGTTGAGTGAATATTAAGGCAGATGTTTAAAACCACTTGTAATGAGGATAGTGTGAGAGGAAAGGATGGCCCAAAAAGGCTTCCCACATGCGGCAAAAACTGACACCTTCACAAACATGTCCAACGTATTTTTATTCGTCATGCGATATTGTTTAGATTTAAGTATATGTATTAATTGCCCTTTACTAACACCCAAATCTATGAAGCTAAATAAAAGCTTAAAAAGGTGGCATCAGAACATGTAATCCTGTACTGCTCACTGTAAATATCTCCTAACAATCCCCTTGCTTTCCATTCTTTGTGTGCGCAAAAAAATGATCTGTTGTTCATTCACATAACCTGGACGAAACCAGTTGTTTGGTTAGCATAACAAATATAACATTGTTGCTTTAAATAAATAAATATAATTATGAGCAATATTAAGCAACAACTTTTTTGACGCACACATTTCAAATGTCTTTTTACATTATACAACACATTTTATATGTAGTAAACCTAACTTTTGTGTTTCTATTGTCGTATGGATGCCATACATATAAAAAGTGTTGATCTCGGGCCTCAAATCCTTACTGGGTAACAAAGCCTGACCATTTTTTCTACATAATCATGTAGTTGACCTCCAAAAATGTATGAATGTGTCAGAATGTCAACACTTTTACTATGTACATTTATGTGTGCCACAGTGACGCGTCCTAAAACCCGGACGTAAGTTAGCATTTTACCACATCCGGTTCCTTCGACAAAAAGCAATGCAATTTCTCCATAGGATTTTGGAAAATAGCTCGAAATAAGGTCTGTGGTTGACACAAATTGAAGAGACAGATCACGTTTTGTTCAGCCGGATAATCTCCACATGTCTACCCCTACAACCACAGACCTTATTTCGAGCTATTTCCCAAAATCCTATGGAGAAATTGCATTGGTTTTTGTCGAAGGAACCGGAAGGAGTTTACTTCCGGGTTGTAGGACGCGTCACTGTGGCACTCTATAGTCCCAGCTCTACAAAGACCTAGAGGTTAGTTGGCCACGTTTGTGAATATGTTCCGCAAATAAATATCTTTCTCGACATTAACCGCCATTACAGTGGTTATGACTGAGATATGAGCTGATTGAGGCTTACTGCTGAAGAGTTCTGTGAAACACTGACACCAAAAACCCTCGTCAGAAATAGATAAGGAATCATCCACAGTGCACATCACTAGAGAACATTACAGGATGATTTCTTAAGGAGCAAATTATGTTTCCTGAGGGGGACAGGGGAGGGGGCAGCTACATTATGAAACACAGGCATCGAATAAAGAGCAAAGTGGCAGCACCAACCCCTGCTGTAACAAGGGGGAGAGCCTCTTTTACCTTAGGCATCGGCCCAGACTTGTGATTGAGCGCATGACTGAGATGATCACACACACTGCAGTAAGTATGGACTTAGTGGAGTGACAGACTTTTTTGTTTTGTTCCTCAGTCTCTCCCTCTGTCTCCATGATCCATTCTCTGTTACTGGATCTGAGTCACAATCCTGAGACAACCTGGTGGAATCAAATGTGGAGTGAAGACAGCGATATGTTTATAGTCACAGGCACATCACGCATCTTGAATAGCTAAGCGGGCTTAAGGTGATTATATTTTCAAATAAAAAATAAAGCTAGAATCATCAGTCCTTTCTTGTATTTCTGAGCAACAGGCAATGATGGAGGATAGAAACGGTTGGCATGAAAGACTTAGCAAACGTCACACAAAAGGGCAATTGATGTTAGTGTTATCTCAATCTCACTGGGCTCAGAGAAAGTAGCAATGATTGATTCAAAGACAGGCAACAGTTAGATCGTGGAACAGGACATTGCTAATGGATTACAAAGAGCAGCTTTCCACTGGAGTTAGGTTGTTTCGAAGAACTGCATAAAACATGTTTCAGGAATTTATATGATGTTGGACAGTTAAATATTGTGACAACTTTGTATCAAGCTGGACATGAATGCAGAACAAGGGCAGCGTTTAGCGGTGACTGGACAACTTTCAGTACAGAGTGGACAAAAGGACAGGAGACAATCTACAAGTCTGCGCTCATATCAATAGCAGCAGCTGAACATAGTCCAATGGGTTAGAGAAAAGGTGAAATGAGCGGAAAAGATTGTAAAGATGGAGAAGTGGATACAGTGACAAAATACCCCTGATGTTGCATGTTTAATTACGACGGTTAAGGAGATACTGCAAGTCTCAACATAGTAGGAGCGTGAAAAAAAAATGAAAAACATGTGAAACCACAGAACCAACTGAAAGGGATGTAAGTGTCCAACAGCGTAATCAATTGTTGAAAGTTGTCAATCAGACAAAGTTTTATTAATTGTTTGGTGTTTGAGATGTGAAGCCATAATTCGCTGCAGACAGTGAATACGTGTTTGACCTTCTAGTGCCATTAGATACTTCAGACGAAAATAATAATTGTAAAATGTACCATGTCAACGAGCAACTTTTATTCAAGTGCTTGCTCCAAAAAACTCGTAGTGCAATGACCGTGTTGTTTCCTATGGTAGCAGAGATAGAGTCTATTAGCAGGTGATATAACCAAAATCAAAAGTTAAGTTCTTCAAAATTAAGCTTTTTGTTCTAATGCGGTCAGGATGAGTTACGCCGATGCTGTTGTGTTCAACTCCTTCTGATCCTGTGATGTCGCCATGCTAGCTTATAACCACACACTGGGGCTATGCTAATGCTTCCGATTTTTGTTCAGTGTGAAAACTTTAAGCCGGCTTAACGGCGGTTCTTTTTACGTTGCGTATCTCTGTGTAAAATAATTCTGTGCGGTGCTTTTAACACTAATAGTATGTTGACATTTTGGAGGTAAACTCCCTCCATGGTTTACTTGTGTTAGTGTGACTGGTGCTTTGCTTCATGATATTTACTGTAGGATCAAATGGATTATAGTAATTGGTCCAGTTCTTTTAAAGTTTGTAAGTAACATGTTGCTCTTAACAATTTTTCTCCCCAAAAGAGAGAGAACAACCATAGTTGAAACACTTATTTGGAACGCAGATGTTTCGCAAGGAGTTAAAACCAGTGGACACGCAAGATTTTTGTGCCTGAAGGTTCTTTGGTTTTTCATTTTGAAAAAAAAGAATCAAGACTCCTTAACTCGAGCTGATGTTCAGCATAGACAAACAACATCAGAATCAGGGAGACAACATAGAGAATGTGGTGTTAATAGATTGAAAATAAGGAAAAGGAAAGGAAAATGATGGATGAGAGGACATGGCAGGATGAAGATAGGAAGGCAGAAGATGAAAAAAGCTAACAGAGAGACAGGTCAATAATGCAGGTGTGGGACTTACTGCAAAAGTCTTGATGTGCTTGTGGTGGAGGGGGCAGAGGTGGGACAGTTCTTCTTGTTCTCTTGGGCCTGCAGCTCCAGCCATTACCCCTCCTCTTCCTCCCCTTGCTAGCAGATGGCTCAGTCACAGGGGGGATAATACCTGAGAAAGTTGCATGTTATTGGTTTGTGGAATTCGGACAGTGACACATACGCTTGGACATGTTTGGGGGTCTGCTGTTTGACAGTTGTACTTCTGTTTCTAATTATGCATATGTGCATTCCTAGCACAACAGAAATAATGGAACAAACTAAATGTCCATTTCTGATAGGATGCCGGTGCCTCATAACCTAAAACAGGTACTGGCTTTAAGTGCATCGTTAACATGTTACATGCTGTGGAAGGAATGATAAACACTGGTACTGGACAGTACGTCTTCTTGACTGATTCAAAGGTTTATAGTAACACTGAAGCCTGTACTTAGAATGAACCAAATACTACCAGTGCACTTACCAGTTCTCAAATGATGTGCACAATATGGTTGAGGTATTTCTGTCTGCTTTTTGCTGTGAGGCATCGGCCTTTCCGGAGTTACTAAAAAACAAAAACATTGATTAGTACTCATCAGGCTACAACTCTTAGTACAGGAATGCAGCTACTGCTGACATGTTCTAGCAGGCCATTGTAGAGAGATGTCCCCAAACCCACATCATAATTTTAAAATCTGATATTGGTACTCCTGTGATTGAACCTCACCTGTCGGTCTTCTCTTGTGCGACGCTAGCGGCAGCAGGTCGTGACGAGTGAGGACTCTCAGCAGTTGCAGTAGTGGTTCCAGATTCCCGTCGCTGAGGTAGCCTCGCTTCTCCAGCTCTAACAACAGCTCGAGCCCACTCTTAGGGGTGCATGAGGCCACTAGGGGACCCTGGGAGCCCTGAGGTTTCAACTTCATCCAGGCCTTTAGCAGCTCAGGACTCGGAGAAACACCTGGGTCATTAGGATCGTCCCCACACGGCTCAACTGTCCACCCTGTTGGGTCGAGAGGGTGAGGAGCAGGACAAGCTTCATCCAGGAGGAACGACAACACCTCAATGTCAGTTTGTGTCAACTGACAACCAACTACCTCAAAGACCTCATGGAGTGACAACATCCCATAGTAGTTTTGGCAGTCTGTTTCATCCCAGAAGAGCGAGTCCCTGTGTGGACACCCCGGATGATGCACTGCAGCCATGGGTCTGCCTTTAGCCCCTCTCCACCTTCCCACCTACATAGGATATAAAGAAAACATACCAGCAGGACACCAGATGTGTAAGACATTAACTATTGAACTTTAAAAAAAAAAAACACATTTGTGTCCAGTCACTATGAGGCATACAGAGAAAGCAATGGGTCTGGTGAGCATTCCTTTGACAACCTGTTTTTGTAACTTTAGATGTAAAAACAGGTGCAGTTGGTCCATAGCTATAGGGACGACAAAGCTAGCTGTTGCCTCTTACTTGACAATGGCCGAAATATGGAAATTAGCTAGTAGCTAAATCACCAACACAAATAAAGTAATGCTGTACTGTACATTAAATTGTACTTGCTTTTTCCTTTAGACACTAGGCTTGCATTACATTTGACCCTTTGTTTCATGGCATTGTGTGTACATCTACATTATTTGCCATACAGGAAGTCGTTAAAGAAATATTGTGTTGAAACCCGAAAATAGCACGTCTCAACAAATGACAGACAAAACCTGTTAGCAGTGTTGGAAAAAGTATTTCAGATTCTATACTTGAGTAAAAGTACCAATACCACACTGTATAAATACTCAATTTCAAGTGAAGTAGAATTTTGAGGGACTTGTACTTTACTGATGTTTACTTACTTTGCAGATTTGGATTAATGATGTGAAATATAATCAACACTTAAATAAGACTTGAGTTACACCTGGAGTAAATTCACAAGCTACCCTGCAATATACAAAGTCATTCAAACTAGCTGCACCTTTACCAGCTGGGACTTGAATTGGAACAGAGTGTTCCTACACTCTGGTACTTCTACTTTTACTTAAGTACAATATCTGAGTACTTATCTAACCTCAGCTTTAAACAACGGTCATTGTTATGGTTACATTTCAGCGTCACGCGAGTTCCCTGGATTATACTGTTTAGAAAAGTACGTTTCAGCAAAGCTCAGCAGTCCTACCTGTCTTCGATGTCAGCTCGACGCTGTCTTGTAGCATGCAGTGTAGAGTTCTGTCAGTGTGAATGTGTTTTGTTGGCGTCGTTTCACAGAGTATCTTCAGCAGCCAGAGACCTTTAAGTACTCAGCAGCAAACGTTGGAGCAAATAACCCTTAACCTGGTACGTCATCACGTTTGTCTGGGGGGGGAAACATAACAAGCGTAAACAAAATGCACTTCGAAACAACGGTTTAGCTAAATAACCAAACTCAAATGAAAAAACAGTGCTAACAATGGTGTGATACGTCATACATATAACAGATATCCTGTTAACTGTGGGAAGAAATACGTGACGAATGTGCGATAAAGCATAGTAACGTTAATGACTTTGAAGCTAGGACCGTAACCAGCTAACGTTAGCTGCACACGCACCTAAATAAAGACGGTGACATCTTTTATAACGTGAATAAAAACGGGTATAAAATGGTTACATTCATTTAAAGTGATGTTTAAAAACTGAATGTACCTGAATTCTCACGTTCCTGGACATAAGCGTCGGATCGTCTGAATGCTTCCTCAGCAACTTGCAGTACTGCTAGTAGCACAATAACATAGAGAAACTGTCCAATCACAGCGCGCCGCCTGCCAAGTCACGTGTTCTTCTAACTGATCTGGAGTCAGATTTTCTCTCACAGCGATTTATAGAAAGGACTGTAACTGTAAAAACCACACCCGACCCCGAGTCTGCTGCTGTTTTATCGAATTTGCCACAGCTGTGTTGCTAAGAAAAACAAGGCAAGCTATTTGTAGATTTTTCTAGGACAATGCCATCCATCTACTGGAAAATGTGCTTTATGTTAATCACCCCACATTTTTTGTTGTTGCTATGTTTAACATTCATAAATGCACATTTGCTATCCTAACCTTCCATATTATCAAGATGTCAAATGCAACAAAATAGTACAAGTGGCACACAATACAAACATGTAATTTTTAACAAAATATGGCATGTTAGATACTCTATTCTATTGGTATATCTCCTGTTGATATGTATATATTTACTGTTTGTTGTATTTTTAAGTCATGTTCAATGGCTTGTTTACATGCTGCTGGCTGTAAGAAACACTTAATTTAAAATTATATATGAATTCTTTATTGAGTGATGATCACAGAAAACTATATGAAGCTGCAGGGTACATTTTGTTTTTTGTGCGGACAGTACCTCCCCGGGGTGGACACAAGATGGCGCTGTTTTTGCACTCACACAACCGGAAGCGAAATAACATCCACATCACATCCGTGAACAAGAACAGCAACAAAACCTCTTAGGCAGTCCTGTCACAAAAGTTCTGATGTAAGTATATACTTTTATAACGTGATTTTAGAGAACAAAAATGCAATATGTCTTATTTCTATCCGCGTAACACATCCTACCTCCACCGTGTACATTATCGCTGTTATTATCCGTAGTTAAGATGAACGTTAGCAGAGAAGCTAGCCGTTACAATCTTTTCAACTAGCAGAAAAGTCGTTTTTTCTACACACTGATTTTATTTATCTATAAAACATGTTCTGGATTGAACAACACTATCTGAGTTACCTCATAAATGAACACTCTATGGGTGGATGCTAGCACAGGTTTCCTCAGTATCCTGTTTCTAGTGATGTGGCACTGACCAAGCCCTGTTTACTAAGATTTTTCCATTACCCAAATACTGCTCTGTAGCTAAACTAAGCTAGCTTTAGTGTGAAGTGTAGGCTTCTTGCTCCTGTTTTAAACAAAGTAGTAACACATTAATTACTACTTACTTTTGAAATAAATGCACACGTTTGACCTTTTCTTCTGAAATACTGTGATACTCTCTTTCAAGACTTTTGAAATATTAAGTTCACAAAAAAAATGATGCCACTAGCAATACATATTTCAACTCATTGTAATTTATAAAGTAATCGACTCTTAACCTTTGTGAAGCTAAATCCAGAATGTTTGGTGTTTTGTATTATTTATATATATATATATATATATATATATATATATATATATATATATATATATATATATATATATATATATATATATATATATATATATATATATATACACACTGCATATTAATCACTGTAGGGACATTCTGGTGTCATAGCAGCAACAGAATAAGAGAAAAACACAGATAGTACACATGAGAATATAAACAGGGATAATAAGAATGACAATAACAAATAAAGTAAGAATAAAACATGTAGAAGCAGTATGAATAGAAATAACATGAATTAAACTCGGATCAGGTGAATGTACATATATACACATATGTGAACATTCATCTAGTTATTTATCTGAACTTGACTTGACTAGTTATCTGATAAACAGAGAACTGGTTAATCAAGTGTGTCAGCAGCTGGTCAGCAGTAGCGCTTGTAATACCAGTCGTTCAGAAGTTTGTTGATACTCAGGTGATCACTTTGTTGGTGCCTGATAAAACATCATCTTTAGGCCTATTTTACGCTAAACAGCAAATACAATTTTAGATACGAAAATTGTGTTTGAATGGTATTTATTTATGTGTTTTTGCATTACTATTGCTTTGCAGCAGACAGTCTATACATGCCATCTGGAGCTCCGTCGGGGGAGAACTGCCTTGTAGACATGGACAGCAAGGCTGGAGATATGTTCGGGTCTGAGGACGCTCATCCTACTGGGACAGGTGGAGCTGGAATCCTGGCAAAGTAAGGGCCTATACATTTTAATTTTTAAGTTAAATGTGCGCTAAATGTTTCACACAATTATAATGATGATGCTATTATCACAGGGGCTTGTGATTTATATTTTTATCAAATGTCTTCCCTATAGCCCAATGGAACTATGGGTACATATAGCCTCCAACTAGTCTCTGTAGGCCTGCTTATGAATGTTCTAATAGTAAATAACAATTGAGATAAGATAAGATAAGATAAGATAAGATAGGACTTTATTTATCCCAAAGGAAATTGTTGTGCCAGAGTTACAAAAATACAATAAACACAGCAGCATAATAATAAAACTGTATACTAACATTGCAGTAAAAAGAGCAATTAAATATCTACAGGAAACATAGACGGTCACATAATTAATGTAAATATTAACAGTAATACAGGCTTCCAAAGTTTTAAAAGGTTTACAAGGCTGTCAATCTTAAAACTAAATATGGAGTTAACACTAAAACAAAAATGTATCACTATGTAATCAGTTCTTAATATATGTTTCCAATGTTATAGGCTCTGGCTCCCTAAAGGCTTCTCGATCAGTATGGCTAAAGAGTGGATCGACAGGCGTCGGTTGTCCATTCGCCCTTGGAATAGCTTCGTGGATCAACGCAAGTTTTCCAAACCCCGCAACTTTGGAGAGATGTGTCAGAGGATGGTGAAAAACGTGGAGACTTTCAACAGCAACTACACCTTCATCTTCCTGGGTCTCATCCTCTACTGCATGTAAGGCCAACGAAAAATCATTAGTGTTGATTTGTCTGTGGTAATGTTTACTCAGCTCTTTCTCACACACTCTGTGTCCAATACACACAGGAATTTACTCGAAAAGTCCAGGTCACAGGGTATATTGGAAACGAGAAACAAAACAATATGCGTGGGATTAGATTGAAATGTTAAATACACAAAACATGTACGATACAAATAAAAAAAATGCTGCTGTAAGTAACACTGAATGTATTTGTATGTTTCTGTTCCCTCTCCTCAGTATCAGCTCCCCCATGCTTCTGATTGCCTTGGCTGTGTTCGTCGGTGCCTTCTACATCATCCACCTCAAGTCTCTGGAGTCCAAACTGGTTATTCTCGGTGAGTAAAGCTGTCAGGTGTGCTTTGAGCTGCAGTCTGTTAATTATATAACTGCCTCATATGCTGAATTCTCAAAATTGCCAGGCTAATTGGAGCAGTATTCTAAAATGAACCTCAGCGTTTGTGAGTGTTTGCTAAAACACCCTTCCCAGATTATATCAAATATTTAAAATATTTGTTTTGGAAATATATACACTTGATGTTGTTACTGTATTTATTTTTTTGTTGCAATTTGTCAAGTGCCACATGTTTTCCTATATATATCTTATACATATTTATATATATATATATATATATGTGTGTGTGTGTGTGTGTGTGTGTGTGTGTGTATATGTTTTACTTAACTAGGTAAATTAAGAGTGACCTGGCTCAAAAGAGCAGCATAAGCATTGTCACAAAAAACGACAAAATAACAGTCAAACATTACAAATAGTGAGCCCTCCTTGCAGTTAATATGCAATAGAAATAGAGGTAAAATGTACAAAAACAGGTACTTTTTTCGGAATTAATTTCAGTCAACATTTTAGAACAAACACATCGACCAAAAATGCTTTTTCAATATATTTTAAAAGGGACATGAAGTGCTCCTTAGTCATCAGCACAATTTTAAACAGGCAGGTGAATGACTACACTTATTTAGTACTAGATGAAATGCATGTCTTGTGCTAGTATAAGAAAATATAAGGTGTCGCATAGATATTTGTTATTAATGGCAGTATTTTGATGTTGCTAAATCTGTACTTCTTTTGTCTACCAGGCAAGCAGCTGACCGTCCCTCACCAGATGGGTCTGGCTGGAGCCGTTTCCCTTCCTGTGTTCTGGTTGGCTGGAGCCGGAGCCGCAGTGTTTTGGGTTCTGGGTGAGATAAACTACATTAGCTGTTCTTCTAATTCGTTATTTTTCTGGGCATGCAGGAATATTTATTGGAATTAAAAGTTTTGTGTTATATCATTCCAGTATCCAATCATATTACACCGTTACATTCAATGAAAAAATGACAGACTTTATTGTCATATGCACAATATCAGTGTAGTCCCAGGCTCTAACAATGCAGAGATGCAACATTCTACATACTTAGGACATAGAAGATCAAAAGACATAAAATAGTGCAAATGGTTAAATTAAAAGGGTAAGTAAACTAGCTACATGTAGAATAGACTAATGTAAAATTAAATACTGTACTGTAGAATAAAATACTCAAAGCCTCAGTGTTATAGTGTCAGTTAATTACCTTAATGTAATTGTTAACATGGACATTCTCTGTCTAACAAGAATCTTCCTGCTATTTTTCCCTTCACATTCCGCTTTTCAATTTGTCATGTAGAATAGAATTATGTAAAATTAAATACTGTACCCTGGAATAAAATACTGAAAGTCTCTGTTATAGTTGTTTTTCGTTTCTGATATTTTTTGGCTGTTTTTCCAGCAGAGCAGGGTTTTAGCATAGTCAGTTAATTACCTTAATTTAATTGTTAATAAGGACATTCTCTGTCTAACAAGAATCTTCCTGCTATTTTCCCCCTTCACATTCCTCTTTTCACTTTGTCCCGTCTCCCTTCAGGAGCGACGCTGTTTGTGATCGGCTCTCACGCTGCGTTCAGGGAGCTGGAGGGATCGGACATGGAGGAGCTGCTGATGGATCCGGTGTGAAGAGAAGGAGCCGCTCCTCCATCACTCTGACCCTCACGGGTGGAGGAAGGACTGCTCCCACATCTGATCCTCACTATGTATTCCCTGTATTAGAATGCACCTTGTCTTGCCTATAAAGTAGTTGATGTTACAGACTGTATTGACATTTATGCAGACGCATTCATACACATAACTGGCCAAATGCACACATTGTAATTTGTTGTATTTAGGCACGTTCTTATACAGATTATATGCCTTTCTCTACATATGTTATACCTTGGATGCCTCTGGTTTGTGTCATCTCGCTCGCCATAATGTCGCACAATCACATATCTTAGTAGAAGTACTAGTAGTCATTTACAGTTTCCAATAATAATGCATAAATACATAACAATAAGGGTTTCATTTGAAGAAAAAATAAAATAGAATTGTCTGTGCTGTAGATAGCTTCAGGAATATCTTCTATATCCAACCCATCTGACAAGTTTGCTGCTTCTTTATTTAAAGATACATTAAATGCAATGTTTCCATTCTAAACAGCTAAAGAAATATAGATTTTCCAAAGGAAAAGTGCAATGTAAAGCTTTAAAAAAAAATATATGTCTTTGATGATGATCATATACAAAGTTATTGTTTTATTCAGGGGGATCAAAAACAAATCTCAGATACGGTACTTAACATAGACAGGTTGCTGAAGATACATCTTTAAAGGTCAGTACATAATAATGTTGTCTTGCATCGGATGATAATATGGTATCTTTGTGACTGTATGCATATTTATCAGCATTCAGGTCAGGTTTCCTTACCTGAAATATTTCTTTTTTGAACTCTGTTATTCATTGGTTTACATTTCTATGTAAAAATGGGTGTTTTTTGTATTTAAATTGCATTTTCAGAACTGCAATAAACCCTTAATGTAAAGAAAGCTTCATATCTGCTTCTTGTTATTTTGCCTTCAATTAACTCGCATGGTTTGTTGTATTCACTCACTTTGTGTACCTATTACAGAAGTTGTAAACTCAGTGACCCTTAGCACTCAGTCCGTACATTTCTTATTATTCTGCTCGGGTCTGAACACACTGGACAGTTTCAACCCTGGTAGCTCTTCTTCTATATCTCCAGCACACACTGCAGCGCCCACAATCCCCCTCTCATCCCCCCTGTGGTCCCCCTCCTGTCCCCCCTTTCCACGTGACCCCTGTGACCTGTGCTCTGTGACAGCAAAGCACGAGGACCCCTTGCTCAGGTTGCCATGGCAATGACCTTGGTAGGCCCCAGTCAGACACACACTCGTCCACAGACACACTCGCTTACACACTGCGGCAAAGGCGATCGATATTCTATTATACGGAGGGTGGCGAGGGGGGGGGGGAGAGTCGCACTGCAGCGAGCTCACTGCAGAGACACAGGGGAAATTAGAGAGAGGGTGAGAGTGTGAGTGTGTTTGTCAGGGAGAGTGACAGAAAGTGTGTGTGTGTGTGTGTGTGTGCATGTGTTTGCAGGAGACACTGCACTTGTCATTGGGCAAAGCGGTCCCAGAAAGTTTTTGCTTCTTCTCACTCACATGTCCTAAATGCTGACAGGATGTGGCAAAGTGACCTCTCACACACACCATATCATCATCACATTATAAAGCTCTATGTTGTGTATATTCATTTGTGTACAAGTCAGGCAATAAGAGGTTCATTTAAAATAGATGACCCTTGTGGAACAGTGGTAGCCTGCCCCCTTAACATTAACATGTATTGCCTTGCTTTATTTGCTGGAACCTTTGGAAAATCGCTTTTATTAATCAAATATGTTGCTTTCTGAACACATGACTCATTTTCTATTTCTTATAGTATGGGAACATGAGTTTGGAGACATTGTTCCCTTGGTAAGACTATCAATAAGAGCTTATGGATGGTAATGTCAGACGCAGCTGACACATTTAGGATTTGGTGCATTACCCTGGGCTGCTGCCAACTCTTCCTCCTTTGACATCATGCAGTTTGCACGTTGAAGTGCGTATACATTCACAACACTAGGTGGCATCCCATCCTCATATTTCCTGCTGTGTTTTATGGACTCAAATCAACACATTTGCACTTTAGTGGGATTAAATAATGTCAGATAATACAACCTCATATTGGATTTATGTGTTGAAATAATAGAAAGTCGGATATATATGAAATTACAATCAAAGAGAATTACTTTGAGGCAGAGGCGGACTGGGACTAAAAATCAGCCCGGGACACTCGACCGGCCCACTTCGGTACCGCTACTAAATTGTCAACGGGGGGGACTTAGCCGACCGGCCCACCACGGTACCGCTAGTAAATACCGCCAGTAAATTGCCAACGGGGGGGGGGTGGTGCTATCCACATCGTCCGACCGGCCCACTGCAGTACCGGCCCATCGGGATTCGTCTCAAACGTGTTGATGGCCACTGCTTTGAGGTATTGATTCACGTGGGAAGTTATCCCAGGATCATGGGTTCAAAGGGGTTGTAAATCATTAACACGTTAAAATCGACGTTTTATTATAAATGAGATGTTACCGAAGTGATAAACACCTTTATTGTTCATACTTAATTAAATACTGTAGCAGTATTTCATGTCTATTGTAATGGATGCCTTTACATTCCTTTACCTTGTCATAATATGAAACCTTGAGTGATAATATGAAACCTTGAGTGATTAAGATTATAAGTAGTAGGCAGATAAACATGGTGTGTGTAGTGTAGTTTTTCACGAGTAAAAACAGAGACAGAGAGACACACACACAGGTCTGGGTTGTATTAAATGTTCTAGATGTTTTATTGGTGTTTTGTTTCATTTATTTGACACACATGTTCTACTAGTTGTGTTTTTTTTTTTCTTCTTGAATTTTTCATCTCTTGCTGCCATCTGAGATAGACCCAGCCTGAGACCGCTGGCCCTTCGCTGGTCTCCAACACAAACATGCACACAGACCGGGGCCAGACCGGGCCGCACCAGGACCTGGACTAAACCAGAGCTGGACCCAAACCCGGTAACAGTCCCGAGGCGCATGGTCTCCTCATCGCCACTCACCACGTCACAGCCCACTGCACCACATCATACCTGCAGCGACAGGAACCTGAAAGCCTTGGTTGGTGTCTTGTGTCTTTTTGTAAAAACACAACCTAAAACCCTGCTCTGCTGTTACAGGTTTAGAATAGCCCCCTGGAAAAACAGCCAAAAAAGAACAGAAACCAAAAACAGAAAACAGAGACACATATCTCGAGCTTTTTTTTCCTAGTTCACCAATATTGTGGATGTTATTTTTCATGAATGTCTCTCTTGAGCTGTTTTTCAACATGTGTTTTTTTATTGTTTCATTTAAATTCAGTATAGAATTATATAGATTTCCTAGAGCACACAGAAAGATTGAGTTGTATTTACCAACTTGGGGCGGGGAGGGGAGAGGGGGGGGGTGTACTGTAATAGTTATTAACAAGGACAATGGTTCACACTGTGCACACAAACAGAGACAAACGGGGCGGGAGGGAGGGGAGGGGAGGGGAGGGGGGGGGCTGTGAGAGACATAGGGGGGAGAGACGGGTGGGGTGTGCTTTGTTAGGCCTAAATGAGGAAAAGCAGCTCTCACGTACCCCCCTTCCCGTCTTGGAAATAAAAAAAGAAATCATCGAAATCCCCCCGTACCCCACATATTAAAAAAAAAACAACAACACGGTGGCCGTTGGGAACGGAAGAGAGGGAGGATGGAGGGGGTGAGGAGGGAGGACAGGGAGGGAGGTGACCCCCCCCCTGCTGGTCCTCCACAGACAGGAGATGGCAGTCGAGGTGGTGTCGGCGGTGGGGTCTCACTGTGTGATCTTTACAGCTGTGTGTGTGATTGGACGACAAGCAAAGGGTTGGCGAGGAGAGAGGGGGACGAAGGTATAGAGACAGACGAAGGTGGGGGGGGGGGGGAAGCAGGGGAGGAACAGGGAGGGGCAGGAGCTGGTTGGCCCTTTTTTGCAGAGCGTAGACACTCCCTTTGTATCCTTAGCTCATTCAAATCTACATACACAATATGCAGCTGCCGTTTGGTAGATATATTGGTTTATGTACACAGCAGTGAGAGAACACATGCAAAGAGTATCATAGGAGGGGGGGGGCAGAACGGGAGGGGGGGAGGGTCAATGTAGAAAGTTGTAAAGGTGCTTTTGCTGTTTTTAATCTTTGGGGCAGTTGTGATGAAAATTGCTTCAAAGCGTTTTTTGTCTTTAAGAGGGCGGGGCGTCTGGAGGTGTGTCTTGCCAGGGATGAAGTGACAGGGGGAGGGGGGGGGAGAAATAAGTGGAGATGTAGGGGGTTTGAGCAGAGATGCTCCATCGATCAATAGTATGTCTCCCTTTCCACCCAACCTGGATATAAGAGAAAGAAAGAAAAACACAGAAAAGTTCAGTTAATAGTGATTTAGGATTATATTCAAAAAATGCATTTAGTGATATCATGTTATAGACAAATCAAATATCAAGTGAATAATCCAGAAACTACTGCTTTTACTTTATTTCCAGCAAATTTCACTCCTATTTTGAGAGGGGTTTTACTTAATGATGTTCAAATTTAAAATCTATGGAGAGCTAGATAATATTGTAATTATGAATTATTTTAGCTACGATATTCGCTAATCTGATATTGGGAGAGTTTAAAGATAAGAAAATAGCACTTCTGAAACTCACTAATCAACCATACAAATGTCATATCGTGCTTTAAAACTGTGGTTTTTCAGGCGCTGGACATTTTCTTAGCCGAGTTGAGTTTTTGATAAAGTCACAGCTATAAGCAAAGTAAAAGTCCAACACAACGTCCTTTAAAAGCAACCTGGTTAAAAAGGGATGAAGAGGATATAAAGTAGAAAAGATACTGACCTCCGGGGTTCCTACGGAGGAGGAGTTTTCGGACTTCATCATAAACAAAGATGAGGAAACTATAGGGGAACGCACAGAACCACCAGCTAGGCCTGTAAGCAAGACAAGAGAACAGCGAGGATTAAAACACATCACAGATTACAAAATATGTCTTAATGGTAAATGGACTGTACTTATACAGTATAGCGCTTTATCCAGTCTTTAAGACCCCTCAAAGCGCTTTACATACTACAAGTCGTTCACCCATTCATACAGAGCAGTGTACCTTGCTCTAGGAACTAACATTCATACACATTCACACATCGTTGGGAGCAACTCAGGGTTCAGTATCTTGCCCAAGGATACATCGACATGTTGACTGCATGGGCTGGGATCGAACCCACAACCTTCTGGTCGCAGCCACAGTCGCCCTCAATGTCAAAGTAAAGCATATGTTGAGATGTGGTACTGGCACTCACTTTAGAGGATACATCCTGAGTGCCACATCCATGCCGGGGCAGTAGGACAGGAAGGCAGCCAGGGCTGTCTCTTCAAACAGGCCGAAGATCAAGATCTTGTTCCTGAGTGGGAAGAACACAGCAAATATTGAAGAGCGGAAAGAAAAAAGTGATGCAGAAATTGAGATGCGTGTCATTATGATAATGGCTAAAAAAGATAAGCCACTCAGTAGGCCTGTTGTAAAGGAATTTAGCTGTACATGTATATAGTATGTCATATAAGTATTTATTGATATAACAAGTTGCCTTTGTTTTTATTAATGCTATCACTTGCGTTTATTCATAGTTTGATCATATTTAGCGTTATTTAAATTGGGTTTTATCGATGTTTGTACATGTTTTCTTTGTATAGTCTTGTTAGTTTTTGGTGTGATTGTTTGCTAGTGGTTTGTTAATGTGTTATATATTGTGTATTATACATATAAGTGCACATACCTCATGCCCTGCTGGAACACAGAGTTACGTCGGGTCTTGCAGATGATCACATCGGCCCATTGCACCACCACGATACTGACGAAGAAGGCTGTGTGGCAGGTGAACTCCACAATCTTCCTC